TGGAACAGGGAAGGCCTCAGAGGGAAGGCAGAGGTCATAAAGGGTCAGAAGAAGCTAGCCAGAGGTCAGGGGAATTTATTTCTTGCAGTGGGAACAGAATGTGCAAAGGCACAGAGGCCCAAAAGAACTATTTATAGGCATCTGAAAATATTAGGTTGAACCATCAGAAAGTGCTGCTTTTATAGGTCAAAAATGGTTGACTATCGGGGCCGGCCGAGTGGCTCAGTTGGTTAAGAGTTGGCTTAAGAGCGTGAGCTCTGAGCAAAAAGACCACCGGTTCAATTCCCACATGGGCCAGTGACACTGAGCCCGAGCTAAACTGTCGCTCAGCTGCCAACAGGTGGCAGGATGGCTCAGCTGGTGTAACAACAAGACTGCGTGTTTGATGGTGGGCTATGCCCACCTGCAACTAAGACTGAACTCGGCACCTTGAGCTGAGCTGCCTCCCAGATGGCTCAGTGGATATGGGTGTGCGCTCTTAACAAGGCTTCCAGGTTTGACTCCCGCATGGGATGGTGGCTACGCCCACCCGCAACTAAGATTGAACACAGCTTCTTGAGCTTAGAGGCCACGAGCTGCTGACGGGAAGCCAGATGGCGACTGGTGCCCTCCACAACAAAGATTGAAGAACAGCAACTTGGCTGGTCCCTTCCCCAATTAAAAAAAAACAACTAATGGTTGACTATCAGGTGTTTCACATGGTTGTACCTAATAGCTTAGTGGCCAGAGAAGAGGTGGCCACACAGCAGGGACCAGATCGTGGAAGGCTGATACAAAACTTGGGAGTTTTACTTACTTTGCCGTTTTGCCTGGGGCTTGCCCGCCTGGCCCTAGGTGGACTGGATGCCCAGGTGTGAGAAAATGAAGAGGAGAGACCTGTGTGGGATATGGGCCTTTCTTTTTCTCCCAAAGTGCACAGAACATCAGCCCAACGCTTGTGCCTGCAGGTGTCAGTGTGAAGAAGGGTCAAGAGCTGGTGAACATCTATTGCCCCATTGTGATCTCTGACGCTGGACTGTTCAATACCTACAAGCACTTATTGCCAGAGAATGCCCGCTGTCTGCCAGGTAAAGGGCTGGGCTGTGGAGCTCTTTTCCAAGTGCCCCAGCATTGCTGCTCTAGAGCCAGCTTTCTCAGCCTGGCTGATGGTTTCCCCAGCGTGGTGACTGCCCTTTGACTGTCCTTAGCAGAAAAGGTGAGCACACTGGTCTCTCACATCTGTTCCCAGCAAGGCCTCTATGTGGGGGTTGGGAAACAACTTCCCCTGTGTCATGTTATCTGCAAAGAATCTTTGGTCCTTGTCTTTTTCATTTTTGGCATATTTACCCCCTTCCCCTTGTAACTTCAACCACTTTTCCCTCTCCTCTTTTAAGTTTCCATTCCAAGTTGCCCATTTCCAGTTTCCCTAGATCTTAAATCATCTCTCTAATGGTTAGCGATGGTGGACAGAGTCCTAAAGGAACATTTCTTGGGTTTTCACTAAGTTTGTGGTGTGAATCCTGTTTCCTTCCTTAATTTCTCACTTACTTTGAGTGGGGAAGACAGGTCTGACATTATCAGTAAGGGAAGCTAAGGCTGGCATGGAAAAGAAAGACTCGATGTAATTGTTGTGTGCCTTATTTGGGACCCACGGTTATATGTTTCTGCCTCTTTCAGGAACCAGCTTCTTTTGGGGGCTGAGCCTGCAGGATTACCCTCTTGGGTTTCTTCTGTTCTTTAAACCCCGTGCCCGAAATCTGAGCGGCAGGTAGAAACAAGCCTCAACGCAGTCATCTCTGACAGACCATGTATTAAACAAAATAAATAAAAAGCCTGGTTTTAAGGACGAGGAGGAAGACATATTTATCGTTGGCCCTGGGTAGGTCTGTGCGAGAGGCTTTACCTTTGTCATTGCATTTGATCCTCATAGCCACTCGGGAGAGGGCCATCATCATCCTAATGTTTATGCCTGGGGAAATGGAGGCTATGCAAGTGAGGTAACTTGCTGAAAGTGGCAAAGCTGAGATAAGAATCCTGGTATGTCTGACTTGAAAGCCTGGGCTGGTGGCCCCCTCTGGGCTGAGAAGCATGAGGCTTTCCTAGAAAGGGCCTCACCAAAAGGGACCCTGAGGAACAAAGTGGCTGAGCCAAAGTTAGGTGAGAAATTAGTGTTCTGAAATGGACTTTAGGCTATTGTGTAACTAGAAGCTACTGGAGTGACCTGAGGAATGGAGGCTGCTGACCAGGAGTGGACTAGTAATCCAGGTGGGTAAGAGAGCGGGGTCTAGATAAAGGCATCTAGCTGGGGCAGGAGCCAGAAAGAAAGGAGCAGCTCAAGATGCGGTTGGGATGGAAGCGCACGGAGGAGGAGCCCAGAGAGCAGTGGGAGGAGTCCTCCACCCCAGAGTGGGGGCTGTGGCTGCTCTTTGAGGAGGTGGGGAAGGTGGGCAGCAGAGTGGGTTCAATGGAAAAGCGAGGTCCTGGATTTCCTCACAGGGGAGAGAGTGGGTGGCAGTTGTAATTCTCTAAGGGATAAGACGTGTGTGCTACTGAAAAGCAGCCTTCTCACTCCTTTGCCTCACTTGGCTGGGCCTCAGCCAGCATCTGCTGCCAGCGAACCAAAGTCCTCCTCCCTCGGACTGGGTGAGCTGAGTCGGGTGAGGCAGAGACTGCCCAGTGCAGGGCAGCGGGGTGCGGCTGGGTGGACGGGCTGACTTTACCTTTGGTACTGCCTGCCTTCCTCTCTCCTAGGACCTCTGATCCTTGACACTGTCCTGTGACAGGTCCCAGGGTCCCACCCAGGTCTGCCTTCTCTCCAGGCAGCCACGTTACCTGTTCAGCTTGCCCTCCTTCACTGTACGGTTATAGCTTTCACTGCTCTTACATATAGCTTTCACTGCTCTTACATAGCTCAGCCCTGAACAAGCTAATGGCAGCAGTTCCCACCTGGCTGAAGGACCGATTGCCCCCTTCGATGGGGAGTTGGGTGCTGCCTCAGATGACTCCTGGTTTGAGAACATTTCAGGCAGTGGCAGGGATGATGCTTAACTCAGAGACCCCAGTGCTGGGACTTTGTTTCCAGCTGTTTAGGGTGGAGATTTTCCTAGTGGTACCTCTCAGAGATGGGAAGCAGCATTGGCTGGCCTTTGGGATAGGCAGTGCCAGGTGGAGTCGCAGGTGGAGGTGGGGTAGTCAGGCAGAGGGAGCCTTTGTGAACGGGAGCGCTTTTCTTCAATCCCATTGCTGAGCCCTGTGGAGGCGATGGGATGGTGTGGAGAGGGAACTTTTTGAGTGGCAAAGACTGGTCTGACAATATCAGTAAGAGAAGGCTGGCATGGAGAAGAAAGGCTTGGTATACTTGTGTCTTGTTTGGGACTGAGGTTNTGGAAGATAAAAGATTAGCACAGAAGCTAGAAATGATGCACTCTTGAGAGTGGAAACAGGAAGATAAATGCTCCAACTACTTCCTTTGAGCTGTGAAGGTTCTAAGTTTAAGATTACTGAAGGATACCCCAATTCAGGTCAGATTGTAATAATGTCCTAACTAGCACTTAATACAGCAGCAGAGGGCACTCAGAGGAAACAAACATGAAAACAAATGACTTAGAAAACAGGAGTAGAGTCCAAGCAGGATCTGGAAAACGATTTGTCTTAAAATCCCCAGTGTTCACAGGCAGATGAATGATGGATACTGGCCCATATACCAAGCTTTCAGGGTGGAGGCTATCCCATTTCTTTTAAGGCAACTCTTGACTTACCTTCCGCTTGTTGTGATAGGCAATATAGAGGACAGCAACAAGAATGGCAGCAGTCACCAGGTATGCAAAGAAGTGGCTGCTCTCTGCACCGGCACTTCCAAGATTGTACTTATAAAGGTCATCCTTCTTCCCACTCATGGAATCCAAAAGTGTCCCTTCTTTCTCTTCTTTGGGTGGAGAACCCTCTGTATCACCTTCCTCAGCCTCCTTTGGCTCCACACCTTCAGCAGGTTTTGAAGACTTACCTTCTCCCTCCTGTTGGGGAGAAATGGAGTCAGAGTCCAGTGATACTCTTTCCGCAGATTCAGTTTTGGAAGCATGCAGAGAGGTCTCTCCTTTGTCAGCTGGTATGCTTAAGTCAGGCTTGGTAAGCTCCTTGTTATTAGAGGACGGATTGGACACAGGCTTGTTGGAGTTGTCTTTCCTGGACTGGGGGTCCTGATCTGATTTGTCAGAATCGTGTTTCGCGGACTGGGGGTCCTGATCCGGCTTGCCAGAATCATCTCTCGCGGNGGTCAATAGCGTCCAATTCTATCAAGGTCAAGATTAAGCTTTGAGAACAAGGCATTGGATTTGGTGATCTGAACCTTTGGAAAAACATTTAGTAGACAGACAGGAACCAAAGTGAGTTTGTGAAGGTTACGAAGAGAATGAAGGGTAAGGTAATGGAAGCAACATTTACTGGAGAAGGTGAACAGTAGAATGAGTAACAAATAGGATGAATGGGTGTGAGGGAAATCTGGGCAAGCATAAAGGTTGGAGGGAAGGTACTAGTGTAATAGGCAGAAATAGAAAGCACTAGAGGCGGCAAGTTAGGGAAAGGGGAGACAGAAAAGGGAATAAAATAACCATGGTCTTAGGGAATGCTCGAAGAGCCTGATATAAGATTCCTCAGATTGGAGGAAAGTATTATAAGACTGGTGCACAACTAGAGAAAATGATGCCAATAAGAGTATTCATTTGTTCTTTATCTCCACAAACAGCTACCTGCAAAAATGAAAATCTCAAAGCCATGAGCTGTTTTAAGCAAGGTGAAAGATAATATGACAAACAGGATGGCCTCTTCTTTAGACTTACTTCTTCAACATCACAGAATTCATCACATTCTCCTCACTTCCCACATTCTTTGTATTTCCCTGAGATCAGTTACTCTATTTGTTTTTTTCTTTGCAGAAACAACTCTCTTTAGGCTCTCTATAATAGGATAGCGTGACTAGAACAGATTTCAATAAAACATCAAACAGCATGATTCAAGACATTATCCTCAGTCACCGTTCGAAAAAAAATGCAGACCAGAACCCAAATCCTGCTACATGTTTTCTTGCATAAAGTATGAACTTACCCTGGCATGACTGTGAGAACACTGTTCCAATCATCATAACTATATTTTTAATAATCTACAATGGGAACAGTGGCTTTACTCCCAGGAGCCCCAAATTTCAGTTTTCTGCTCAGTACAACCAAATAGAAGTTGATTCACTTTGTCTTAGGTAATATGAAAATAACAGAAAAATGTGAAGAACTTATACTGGACAGGTTGGACTTGTAGGCTGTAAAGCACTGTTTTTAAAGCTGCTGTTTTAGTTCGCTGCTGAAGCCTCTGAAGAGAACTGTGTCCTAAGTAGCCCTCTGCCCATCAGCAGTCACCTTCTACATCTTTTGTAGGCACATCCCCCAAAAGTAAGATGCCTTGGCAGAAAAACATCTCAACCTGCAGAGTTTTCTCCTAGGTTTGCAAAGATAAATAGTGGCAAGTGCAATGTTATTTTCAAGGGATAACTTTACTACAGAGCCAAGGGAGGGTTGTCAGCAGCACTAGCTTGCCTAGGACTGGGATCTCCCTTTGGTCAAAGCTGGGTTCCCACATGCTCCTTCTACTCACATTCAAGGGGGGAAAGGTTGGAAGACACCAGCGTAAACAACAGGAACACACGAGTACAAGGTCACCAAAGTGCAGGTGCAAAATCCAAAGCAATTCCCGTGCCTCTGCCAGCCTGGACTTGCCACCAAACCCCAGAGGGTGTCTCTTAGGTCACAGTACTTTTCTCTTCATTTCTCTTGATTTAGAAACAAATCAGCAGGGAGGACAAGGTTCTCACAAACAGAAAAATCACATCTGAAACGAGAGTAACACAATCCATTGATAACGTTCATC